TTTTTTTTGTACTATATTAAAAACTAAAATTTATTTGTTTGTAAGCTTAAAATAGATTTTTATTAACCATATATTATTAAAAATGCATTAATAAATAAAATACAGAACCGGGAATGGTAATTTACGGTTTAGCCTAGTGATAAGTAGATTCGGAGACAAGTAAATTCGACTTACGTCATTCTCCTGGAACCAATTAACGACGTAAGGCGAGGTATGCCTGTATACAGTTAGCAAAGCTTTTATCTTTGATTGTTTAAACATAAATGTTTATAAATTCTTGTATAATTTTAAAGTATTTTATTTGATTAAATTTTTAAGATAATTTTCAGTATTAATTATTTCACAATTAAATCTGAAATCATTTAAAATAATCATACCTTAAAGTATATCCAAAAAGATGATCAGAAAGTGGTAAAACAAAAAGAGATTTTGCTGATAAATCACAGGCACTAAATAATGTTGCTGCTCTTTCTGCAGCAATTACATCATCTCCTAAAATAGAAATTTTCATTTTAAAATTATGGTAATAAAGTGGAACCTCTATATTCATCATTAATCTGTTCTTAAGGACTTAACAAATATGGAATATGACAAATATAGAAACAATTTTTCTCATAATAAATAACTGATATTCAATTAATCTGTTCCCATCCTAAAAAACAGGTACAAGAATAAAAATTATGTTGTTTGTAAAAAGTTTACCTTTATTGTACTAAATAAATTCAATATAGTGGTAGAAGGAGAAGAAGAGTAAGGTTATTATTGTTTAGAAGACATACCATCAATTAAAACATTAGATAATTCCAATCATGATCATGGGGTCTGTTTTGTCGATGATTCAGTAGCACTCAATTTAACAAAGAACTTGTCCCATATTGTTTGTTTTTGTCTGCTTTTTAAAACCTTTCTGAAGTAGGCAATAATAATTTCTTTTTTTTACCTCTATTGTTGTTCTAACAAACTTTCCTTTTTTGCTGTTTTTCTTCAATGTGCTTTGTTGGAGCCATTGGAACTTCAGTTTTTGAAAATAATCAATGCAAGAAACCAAGAACACACACGACGACTGCCCAAAGCAGACTGGCAACTACAGTTAGCTAACATGGCTAGGTGATCGGCATGGGCGTGCGATTGTAGCCCCACTGCCAGTGTTGGGAATGACAACAAATACAGAAAATACTGATGAATATGGAGGGGGAGAAGTCATCAAAATGTGGCAAATATTGAATATTACAAATATAGAGGTTCCACTGTATTTTAAATATAAGAATGCACTCTTACAGAAAAATATCACATTATTATTAACAATAGAAAAATAAAAAGCTAAATTAAGTAAATTTTATTAAAACATACAAAATTACTATTAACATAAAATTTAACACATTAAATTTAATTTTGCATTCCAATTTCTCTTTAATTGAATAATACTCTATTTAATTGTTTATAAAACAGTTCAATTCTTCTGAAATATTGTCATATAATAAAAGATATCAATATAAACTGAAAAATATTGGATATTTTGTATATAAATTTTATTATTTTTGATTAAAATAGTAAAACAGGAATAAATAAAATAGTTATAAATTGTTTGCATACCTCCAGGAAGTGGTGCTGTTTTCTGAATTAAGGCCAATACAACTTTAGTATTTCTTCCCTGTAATGATGATCTGCACATTCACTGTATTAGTGCTACTTTGCTTTTAAAAAATTTTTTTAATTATACAATCTACAGATAATTAATGAATTATATTTACCTTAATAATTCCAATTTTGTTGCACATTCAGTTCTCTTTTCAGTCCAATTTGGATCATCCCAATCAAGTTTATAAAACAGCACAGCCACGGCAGGAATTTCATTTAAATGTTTAGAAAGCCAACCAGTTTTAAGAAGACCTTTGGGGACATGTCTTTCGTAAGAAGTGCGCTAAATATTAAAATAAGTTATGTATTTAATGCAATGATACTGTTATAAGAAAACGAAAAAAATAATACTTATTTAAAATATTTCTAACAACAATGGCAAATTAAACATTTGTTAAAAATTTGTTTTTGATTTATGTATGTTTATATTATTTCAATGTTATTAACTTGAAATTTATCTTTAATTATATACTGTTTGTATTGCATAAATAAGGAGTAAAGAGAATATTTTATATGTAATGCATTTAAGTATGGAGATAAAATAAATTCAAACCTTAGGTTTAGCTATTGGAAACTGATGTCCTTCTTGCAGAAGTTTAAAATTTATTGGAGCTCTGTCTGGTAATCTGTTCAAATGAAATGATTCCCAAATTGAAGCATGAACAGGATTATTAACTATATCTAATCCTAATAATGCAACTAAAGCTAATGGACGAGATGTCAACTCTGGTGGAAGATCTCCAATTCCAAGCACTGGCATTTTAATCTAAAGATTAAAAAAATATATTGTTTAAGATTAATTTATGAACATTAAAATTCAAAATAATTAAATCAATTTTTTTTAAAGCATTCATTCAGAAACAGTTAAAATTAATAATTTTTACACTTTATATTAAAAAATATATTAATTTTTAATATTTACATGCTGTTTTTTAAATTACACGTTATTATAAATTTTTTAAATAATATTTTTCAAAATATCTTTTTGTTCTAATTTTAGTCTCACTGTAAGAACAGCATTCATTAAAACAGATTCTGTAAGTAGGACTTAATAAATATCTATATATCAACATATCTAAATCTGATTATTGGATGTTATATGGCTATATTGGCCATATAACACCCAATAATTTGGCAGATCATTTGGTTTGAATTAATAAATGTCATAAATATAAATAAAACCTAAGTGTTAGATCTCATGTGTAAATGATATTGCAACTAAAATAAAACAATCTAACATTCAAATAGTTCCAAAAGTATTAATTTTATTCACTTTAATAACATGCAATTATATAAGCTCTAATCAGAGAAGATAGTCCAAACATACTTTATGCTATCTTTAATGCAATTCTTATCAATGAACTGATCAGTCTGTCCAACAAGGATATGTGAAATTAGCTTTTATCAGAGATACATTAATTTTCCTGTCTCTTCATCAATAAACAATTCTTGTAATATGGAGTGCACATTCATATGTCATTAGTTTATTAAGTGATCAGTCACTTAAGCCTTTTATAAATATAACAATTAAAAATTAACTGTTGCAGGAGTAAAATTAAGAGAGAATTTAAAAAGATAAGATGACAAATGAATTTCCTTAGTTTAAATAGTTATAAAGATATTCCTTTATCAAACCTTCCTTCAAACAGATGTGAAATTTACATTAGTTTATAATTTAAATGCTATTTTGTTTATATTTATTTATATTATATTTGAAATGATTAAAAGTAAATAAAAAAAAAAAACACTAACAATGCAATTATTGTATTTATGTCGTTTAAAACACTTTAAAGAGCAACAGTACTTAAATAAATGAATGTTATATCTAAATATGTAAAAGCCAGATTTTTAGGTCATTACTTTAACTCAGCTTGTAGATATTTAGGTATTAAAAATATGACCTTGGTTATTGTTTACCAAGATATGAATCTATTGTATTATCTCCAATATAGCACTCTCTCATTACAGTATGGACTGTACAGTACATTCTAATAAAAGGATTTAATTGATAGTAATTCTTTGCACCAATCACTAATAAGCAGGGAAGCACTTATGAAGAAAGTTCATGAGAAAGTTTCTGATAATTCCTTCTTCTTATACCTCAATATAGGACAAATAGCTTCAAATAATTATTAGAATATTCAAGTATATTCTAAGTGCCTAGTCTTGAGTTATGTCATTAGTAACACAAGTGTGTTTGAAGTGTCATGTGTCATGAACTTGTTCGTTGAATGGTCTCACTGAACAGGTTTCTACTGTACTATGTGATATCCTCAGCGTGTTCATATTGCTACTAATAACCTAGGACTAGGTATTTTGTTGTATTAGGTATGCACTTAAGTGTTCAAGCATTGACTATTTTCTCTTTTAACTTAGTACATAATATTAAATCTAAATCTTAATGTTTCAGAGATTTAGACCTAATAGTCACTGAAAAAAATGTATCCAAAAAACATACTTAAGTCAAATAATTGCGGGATTGAATCGGGCTTCTTTACTGTTGTTATTAATAATTAAATTCTAAGTAATTTGGTATTAGATGTTGGTGTTAGGCATCTTATGAAATTTAATACTGTAATTATGATTAAATTAGTATTTATTAAATAATTCAGAATATTCTGGAAGGAAAAAAATCAGCCCAGAGTGGGGTTTGAACCCACAACTCAAACATACCATGCAGATGCATTGCCAGTTATGCTCACAGACCTCCAGTGAAATATGGTAATCATTTGTCTTATTAAAATATTGGGCTTTGAGATGTTTACAGATGTAAACATACTAGTTTCTCTTATTTTCACTGATGGGAAAATTGTTTTATTTCTATAAACAGTGCTATAAAAACAAACTACTACTTTCATTCTTGCTAAGATCATCAGCAAAAATTAAATACTGTCTTTGCAATACCAATTCCAACAAGTGACTATAAGTTTAGTTTTTCAGTGAAAAAAATGTACAGGAAATCCTTGTTAATTCCACCTTGAATAGTTTGAAATCCCATTAGTTTGTAACTGTACTTTTGTCCTGGCTGGGAATACAGGATTTATATGTTAAGGGAATTCAGTTAGTTCAAAATACAGCTTCTTTGAAATCTGAAGTGAAAACTCTGTCCGAACTGTGATAATGTGTGCATTAACTGGTTCATTTAGATCAAAATGCCTCCATGCTATAAGTGAATAATAGACTAACAACAACTCTAATCTGGTCAATAAGACTTTGCTTTTACAGTAACACATTTTTGGGTGTCACTTTACCCATGGATTACCCTTTCTTCTCTTATCTCATAAAATATGTCTGGTTTTCAGGATTGTAAGATTGAATTATGAATAGCAGATTAAGATATTTGCTAGGCTACTACATTTGGGTGACTTACTACTTTTTGGATTACTTTAAAAATAGTTTGGGCTACATTTCAATGAATTCTGCTTTACTTTTTATAAAATCTATATGGTAACCTGTGTGGTTCTTACCAGACATGTGTTGCTTACCTGCAGTTTATTTATATTATTATTATTAATTCATTAATGATTAATTAGTTCTGTACAAGTAGCCATATTCTGTCTGCTTAATAAATTATATCAATTACATTGCTTTTGGCATATCATACAAGAATATGTAAATCTCGAATAATTCAAAACTGGATAATTCAAAGTCGCAATTATTTCTCCCTTGAATTTCAAATTAATGAAGATTTCCTGTATTAGAAATTATAATTTCTGCAATATTAAATGAATACATAGCATTTCTTATATTACTCAGATCATATTGAGAACTTCTCCAATCTTAGCTGTAATGAAATTTCTAGAAAGGTCCAGAAGAATTCAATTTTATAATTAACCAGATTTAGCTTTTTCCAAGTTAAATCTCAGAGTTTAAAATTTAGTGTTCATATTTTAATTCAAGAAATTAAGATATACAGATAACTTTTTTAATATTCACTCTAATCCATTTCCTTCTAAAGAGAAAAAGTTTTTAAAAGAATTTTTATCTAGCCATGTTCCTGTTCTCTTAATAAGTCACCATATAAGTGCTTAAACATTATGAGAGTTAACCTTCTGACTGCAATTAGAGATCTCAGAGACTTTAGTGTTTTATTTGTCTCTATGTATTCATTCTGAAATGATAAGATTTTTGTGGTTCCAATATAAATTAGGATCTCAATGAGGTGTTTGGGCAACAAAGTGAAATCATATGTAATGTGTTGTGTTCTACACAGCATGTTGTTATTTTATAAGTTACACTGATCCTGATATACTGTAAGAGATAGTCTTTGATTAATATTTAATTTTTATATTTCTTGACATATTAGTGTTTGGAAATATTTATCATTTGTCTTGTATTATTTTGTGGCAACATATCACTTAATTAACAATTTGTGAGATAATGGTATATATGAGGACAGTCAGTGTCATCAATGATGATGTGATTGTCAGACCCTACAGAAAGATAATTCTATTAAAGTAGTAGTTGTCAGATGAAGACACTATGCTTGATGATCTAAACCAGGGGTCAAAATTAGCAGCTCGCGAGCCGCACGTGGCTCTTTGCATAGACATTTGCGGCTCTTCGAACATAAACTCCAATTTCACCTCACCTCATTTCACCACAGTCTTATAACTTATGAATTTATGAAATAGAGCTGTCGAACAAACTTCAACTCATACAGCATACTCTCTACCACTCTTTAGCCCGTCCGCACATGACCACACTCACATTGATCAATATGAGTGGCAGCATTTGAAGCCTATCTATCTATATATACATAACCCATTGAACGTGTGTCCATCCATGTAACGTTATGCCAAAATCGGCCACTAGAGGTGCCCATCGTGTGTCGTATTTTGCACATTTAAATTAGCAGTATAAATTATTATTATTATTAATTTGGCCAATAGCCAATAACAATATAAATAATTCAGTATATTTGTAATAGGAATTTATTATTGTCACGGAATGCCTGTAACGTGCACTAGGGGGTGTCTCTCTGGTGCGCGTTATATATGCGGCTCTCTGGTACTTTTGTTATACTGTTTCCATGACAATTTGGCTCTTCTCACTTGACAAACTGCCGACCCCTGATCTAAACCACGTCCTACAAGCAAAGATTATGCTGATTCTTCCCATCGGATATAATCAAAAGAAAAATCGAAACAACAAAGTCACACACATCACCAAGCCAGAGGGGGGAGGACAGTTAGAAACAATACAGTTACTCATTTACCCTTGTAAAAGGATTAAGGCAAGACTGGTGTGAAAATCATGCAACCAACATGATTGTCCAGACCATATAGCTTCCATTTGTGAAAAGTGTAAAAAATAGCACTAACTATATACAAATATTATATACGAGTGATTAATAAAGGTTAATATCACTTGTTTTGACATACAAATTCATTTACAACACTGTATAGAGCTTAAATTAAACAGGGTCTTCAAGATGGTACGAGTGTAGATGGAAGGTTACATTAAATTTTCATGCAACGGAAGAAAGGTTTAAGAGTCATTTTTTGACACGGTCACTCCTGGATTTTTCTTTTTTTAATTCATGTAACTGAGCATTTCAAAAATCTGGCAAAAAAATTCTTATCTTGTACACCTGTAAGGATTTATTCCATTCAATTATCATTGTAATTTCCAAGAAGGGTAGAATGCATTGATACAATATAATTCATAGAAATTTAAATGGCATAACTTTTTCACCTTGCTACGATTACACGTGAATATTATAAGCAATATGCATTGTGCATTATGTTTCTGCTTCAATTATATGTCTTACCTTTGATATAATGAGCTTTAAACACAATACAGAATATTATGCAGCATTTAAATCACTTAGTTCAATCTCATTCCTGTTTATTTCACTACAAATCAAAACTTCTAAACACGCCCTCTATTCCACTTAATTTTCAGTATTCCTGGATCGAGATTTCACCCTCGTCTTGATCCAAAAGTAAAAAAATTAATTTTCTGCTACTAGAGGCACTGGTTTCGCTGTATTTTTTTATTTTTTTTTATTATAAAATTTACGATAAAATTGTAAGAAAAATATTATTGACATAAAATGTTCTGGTATTACATTTTTAAAAATACATACCTAATTACAAAAAATATTTAATATATAAAAAAGAAATATAAATTGATTTCCTCGTAAACAAAATTTATATCCTGATATAGCGATTGTATGAAAATTAGTGAGCCTCTCTGCGAAAGATTTCTTCCAGGCAAATAACACTTTAACACTTTTCTTTATAGTTCCCTTTGCAGTGTGATGCATTTCTCCCAGCAATGCTCCAGCTTTACGAATGGCGAAAAAAATTTCTCTTGGTCCTCACATCATCCATGAATAGTATCCTTTTTTTAGAAAAAAAAAAGTCTCTCCGCCCCGTGGACACTAAAAGGGCCTCTTTAAGCAAGCCCATTACGGGTTCGGCCAGGCCCACAATGGTGTAGCCGGAAAATGAGGGACGGGGCTCGACATATCCGGACGGATCACCCCGAAAAATTCCTGAGGATTTTTCAACTCTGTACAGATATGATCCCGGGGTCCCCAGAAAGGTCAAGGTAACAGCCTACCACTCGGCCATCACTTTCTAAAAGAAATTGGCCTCTGTTTAGGTGTTATAAACGTGAAGAAAATCAGGAAAACTCTACTTGGTCAGCCCATTGGCGAGATGCGAAATCACAAACAACTACTAGTGTTCAGTGGTTTTATCCATTCGAGAACTGATGGGCTAGTCATCGTTGAAACACTGTCCTTTCAGATGTCGTTTGATGTTCGGAACAAGAGAAAAAAGATAATAAACGATACATCATTCACACCATACTCAGTCATAAAGGTCTCTATCTTGACTGACGACGTTCCCTTTATCTGTCTCATGACACTGGGTTGATGTGCTGGATTGGGCTAGGTGAGATGACCAGATGAAAAAATTACGTGTAAGAGTTGTGCTTCAAATGCCACAAATTTTATTATGCTTCGACAACTCCATCACAGGTAGGCTCACTCACTTTTAAAACAACCCTCGTAAAGATCAGTGTGAAATTAACGCGCGTAAACATAACTTTTCCCACAAAATAAGTTATGCAGGGGCGNTTTGTGGGAAACAGTAGCATCCCTGCCGGGATTCGAACCCGGGACCTTTGGATTAGAAGTCCAACGCGCTATCCACTGCGCTACAGGGACAACGAGTTAAGCAGGTTTTTAAATTTTGTCTTAATAGACAATAAATTAATCATTAGCTTAAATTTTCTGTTTTTTTTTTTTTTAAATAAAATATTAATAAATACTTTTAAAATGTCAGTTCTTCGTTTGTTAATTAATTCCAAAGAGTTCTAATGATTGTTATCTGGAAATAACAATCATTGTCAAATAGATGAAATGATAAAAATACAGTATGTATTTTAATTATATATAAACTATTTATTAAACTACTTATACTTTTTGCAGTGGCGTACGGTGACATTTCGTGATAGGGAAGCTGTGCCGGCCCTGGATAGAATAATTGGAAGCGTTATAAGATATTTTGGTGTGTAGCATCTATGAGCCAAAAGTGGGGGAAGTTGGTGCTCTGTAAAGCGTATGCGCGAATGCGTATAATCTGGCTGCTTTACACCATTCAAATATTTTCGTCGTGGAAGCTATCCCGTATTCGACAATACAGCGCTTTCATTGGGAATATGCATACACTAATTCGATATTCGAATATACAATAGCAATCTTATCGTTGTTTTTCACATGTATAGAAATTTGTAATAAAATACATAATGCGGTTATAATAAAATATTAATTGTAAGTACTTCAAAGTACGTTAAAATGTGAAAATAATCGCACAATATGTATTTGTATTTTAGAAAATACAAGGGAAACGGTACTTCCACGGCTTCCCGGCTTCACTTTATAATGATAAGGTTATAATACAATATGGCCGCCGGTATGTAAGGTACTGTACTTCTGAATAGTGGACAAATTTCTCGGTTCCGACGGGCATGCTATTCAGAAGTTATACTGTATTTCTTATATTCGTAATTCTTTCCTTTGTATTTCTGGTTCACAAGTGTCAAAAACAAACTCTTTTCTTTCAAGATACTACTACTACAGTATATGTATTTAATCTCGTGTTCTTTCAATATGTAAAACATACTGGAAGAATATGTTTAACAATATTGAAAGAACACGTGATTAAATACATATAGTAATTTGCCCGTTATTTACAGGTGTCCGCTATTCGGAGGTACAGTACCTTACATACCGGCAGCCATATTGTATTATAACCTTATCATTATAAAGTGAAGCCGGGAAGCCGTGGAAGTACCGTTTCCCTTGTATTTTCTAAAATACAAATACATATTGTGCGATTATTTTCACATTTTAACGTACTTTGAAGTACTTACAATTAATATTTTATTATAACCGCATTATGTATTTTATTACAAATTTCTATACATGTGAAAAACAACGATAAGATTGCTATTGTATATTCGAATATCGAATTAGTGTATGCATATTCCCAATGAAAGCGCTGTATTGTCGAATACGGGATAGCTTCCACGACGAAAATATTTGAATGGTGTAAAGCAGCCAGATTATACGCATTCGCGCATACGCTTTACAGAGCACCAACTTCCCCCACTTTTGGCTCATAGATGCTACACACCAAAATATCTTATAACGCTTCCAATTATTCTATCCAGGGCCGGCACAGCTTCCCTATCACGAAATGTCACCGTACGCCACTGCAAAAAGTATAAGTAGTTTAATAAATAGTTTATATATAATTAAAATACATACTGTATTTTTATCATTTCATCTATTTGACAATGATTGTTATTTCCAGATAACAATCATTAGAACTCTTTGGAATTAATTAACAAACGAAGAACTGACATTTTAAAAGTATTTATTAATATTTTATTTAAAAAAAAAAAAAACAGAAAATTTAAGCTAATGATTAATTTATTGTCTATTAAGACAAAATTTAAAAACCTGCTTAACTCGTTGTCCCTGTAGCGCAGTGGATAGCGCGTTGGACTTCTAATCCAAAGGTCCCGGGTTCGAATCCCGGCAGGGATGCTACTGTTTCCCACAAACCGTAGCTTTTTGATTCCTTCGTTTTATAAAATCACCTAAACTACTACTCGTTGATGAAGCTCAGAATAAGGGAAGATATCCATAAATTACGTGAATAATTGTTAATTAATGCTAGTTTTGTTCGAACATTGCTGCCTAGCGTGTTTTTGTCTACTGTTATATTTCTAATCTTTATCTTTATTATATTCTAATCTTAATTTCTTATCCTATATTATATGGTCAGAACCGCTCGGCATTGATGTTAAATTAACTGAAATAGTCAATTCTTTAAAACAAATTGACTACAAGACACAGGAACATAGTATAATCAACGCGCTAACCAGTGTAGAAGCTGAGAATGATCTACAAAAATTTTAATGCTGCAGATGAATCAACATTAATGATTATTCACTGAATTTATGGATATTTTCTCTTATCCTGATGTTAATCAACGGGTAGTTTCGGTGATTTTATAAAACGAAGGAATCAAAAAGCTACGGTTTGTGAGAAACAGTAGCATCCCTGCCGGGATTCGAACCCGGGACCTTTGAATTAGAAGTCCAACGCGCTATCCACTGCGCTACAGGGACGCGATATCAACTGTTTTATAAAAATAGCTTAAATTTAAAGGGTTAATTTGAATTAGCGTAATCAATTAGATTCCATTGGCTGTTTCTGAGAATACATAAATATAACAGACATTTAATGTAATAAAGATAAAATAGAACTGTATTAGAAAGTTATCAAAAATATGATTAAATTTGTTTCGCGAGATACGCCTTTACAATATTACAGTCGACCCCCTATAACACGGGTTCCTATAGTTCGGATTTCTATATCACGGCGAAAAAATTGCGACAGTATTCGTACAAACATGCTAAAAAAACTCGTATAATTCAGTAAAACGTCATCGCCGACTCGTGTCGCGACATGATTGGTCGAATCTAGACCAATAGAGGATATTGTACAAACCGTTGAGTTTAAACCAGCAGCGGACCTACTGAAAACCATTTATTATTTAACGTCCATAAAAATTATATTTATATTAATGATGTCTCCAATGTTCTGCGAATTTTTCACAAAAAAAAATAATAATAATTTATCAGAAAGCACGCGAGCGCCATTCGATGACAAGCTCCACGACGAAAACAAGCTTAAGCAATGGCTTAGTCGAACGGTGCACACTTGGTAAGTAATCTTACAATTTTTTGTTTATAGCATAGATTATATGGATTATTCCAAAAAATTTATACGTATTTTGGAAATGTTGAGTCGAATTAGTCTAGAATCGATTAATTTTATGGAAGAAACCTTTCAAACAGTCGTAGTCCGTAAACTGCATACGTGCTGGGTTGTGATTGGCTGGACTCATAGAAAATGGATTCATAAAAACCGGAAACGTATCTACCGTGTTATAGGGGGGTCGAATGTATATTACGCATTTCAATTTCTCTGTTATGAGTGGTCTTAATTTGCAATGAGGTAGCATCTAACGTCAATAACTTGACTTATTCATGAAACTCTACGATATTATTGTACTCCAATAGATAATGAAATAATTATATGGAATTTGTGCTCGAAATGTTAATAATAGGTGTAATGTAATATTGCTTGACATCTAATTATAATAAACAGGTTTTTGATTGAAGAAGAATATAACTTAGGATTGTCACAGACAGTCTACATTACCGTGATCAGATGTCTCGGTTTTCTACATTTTGTCTTGTAATTACAACCTTTGTTGGGATATTTAAATGTCCCGTATTTCTTTGTATTTACGTCACAATCGGAATATTTCGAGCGACTTCATTTGACGCTTTGAATAACTTCGTGTGTCTTCGTGAAATCAGTTGCGACAACTTTGCGAAGGCAACCACACTAATTATTGATAAAACTCGAACCGTTTTACCAGTGGCAAACCGTGGGTGTCAGCCGCCCGGAGCGGAGGAAAATTTCGGTCCCCCTTATTTAGATATTTCAATGTAAAAGACCAAAATTCAGTTTTGTCACAGAACAAGCAATGAAAAATTCGATGGTAGTGCAGCGAGCTGTTTAAAATAGTTCTATTGGATATTAGTGGTGTATATGAACGCAAATGAATCGTACAAGAGAAAAAAAAGGTCAACAGATTTCGCAGGAATTCCTCAGATGAAAAAGTTACTAGTTCACCGGCGAGCCGATTACCGGACTGTCCGGACGATAGCACTTTCGTAGGCGCGATGCAAGTACAGATTAGGATGTTTCAAATTTTTACAAGATATTACTGTTATTTATTGTGAAATTTTGCCGCCCCCTAAAAAGTGCCGTCCGGGGCGGGCCGCCCCTGCCGCCCCCACTACGGTACGCCACTGCATTTTACCAAAATTACTATTGGAGACAGTGTTAATTAGTTATTGTACGTGCTGCAGCAGCAAGTATGTATTACGATTTTATTGTTTTAATTTATTTTAAGGGTTTACCAGTGGCCAAGCGGTTCTGTTTCCTGAACACTTGGAGTTCGGTCGTGGGTTCAGAGCCTGGCCAGGACGGGCTTGCGACGTAAAGTCTTTCGTGTTTTCTCCACATCAGTAACGGCCAGGGCCAGTTACTCTTAAAAAGATCTCCCGGAAGGCAATTTCCCTAGGCAGATTAGCTAAGTTATGCGTTGCCTTAACTTAACTAAACAAACAAGTTTATCTTACGAGTTAGCTTTTTTACTCATATTTCCGACAATATAAAAGTAAAATAACCACATTAAGCGCCGTTTATTGTGATCAGCAATTCAAAACGTAAAATTCGCTGCATTTTAATCGTTTATTAGAACAATACTTTCGATTTAGACAAATTTCAAATGCTTTTCTGTCATTTTCGAGGCATGCGGTGAAGATATACTTTATAGCTGACGGCTGGATGGGCGAGCGGTCAACGTGGCAGCCTACCGCTCTGGAGAACCGGGATCGATCTGAACGGGTCAAAAAATGGCCTTACGAATATGTCGGGTCCCATTGTGGGCCTGGCCGAATCCGTAATGTGCTTGCTAAAAGAAACCCTCTTAGTGCCCACAGGGCGAAAAGAGTTTAAAAAGAAGGCTGCGTTTCTCAATAGTACTAATATGGTTTATTTAATTTAAAAATTCGATAATATAATATTTTATTTATTAATATATAAATAAGAACGCTAAGCTTAAAGGAAAAAAAAAAATATATATATACAGTATATAACACATTAACAAAGAAAATTTCCATATTTTATTCTAACGTAACGAGAGGGCGCATCGATTCGTAAACATGGCTAGAACGGCGTGGGAAGCCGATCGTTACTTTTTTCCCTACTAAAAAAAAAACAAAACAAAACAAAAAAAAAAGAAAAAAAAACAAGTTTCAAATGCTAAGTAATGCGGTAACATCGGATAAACTAGCACGGTTAGTCATGGTAACATGTACGAGATTAAAGAAGAGTTAGTTATAAACTCTATTGAACGTGGACGTTTCCATCTTGGAATTTTTCTTTTTTTATTTTTTGTTTATTTCGAATTCTTTTTTCCCCCTTTCTCTTTTCGTCGAAATGGAGGCTGCTTATAACGTCCGGCACTCTTAACTAAAAGTGAAGCAAAAAACTCCCTTTATATAATATTATTCGTAGAGTATTCGATAAATAATTAGCCGGATTGTCTACATTGGAGATCGTATGACAGAAAAGTTTTTTATCCTTCCTCCTAATGAAATTTGTTCAAGTTCTTTTGTGATCGTTTCTCTTGACGTCTGCCATTTCAGAATGTCCGATGGAGGTGAAGTTGGCTTCGTTCCTGTTCCAAATGTCAACTTATCACTACAAAGACTATATTTAAGTAGGTATTATTCTTATAAATAAATTTATATATTTAATTATTAAATGAATAATTACAAAATGATGCCTTTTTATATATCCTTATTCACTTTTTCCACTTCATTTAACTAATTTATCTCATTATTTTTGAAAGTTGATTACATAAGTGATATATAAACGTGTATTTTTATTGTGTTGATCTCTTTGTATTTGTATTATTTATAAATATGCACGTGTATTTGAAGTATTTTAATTGACCTTTATTATTTTGAAATGTACGTATCGTGGCTAATTTCATTTATAAAAAGTCAAAATACTTCTTTGTTTTCCAGCGTATCGCTTCCTCGGCGATTGTCTTACCTCGATTGTAATCAGTCTAATTTAATTACTAATCGTATGTTTAATTTGAAGAGTTTAGTATTAACGGATATTAAATGAACATCTTTGCGTAGTTTAAATTCTTTTATAAATTTGTAAATCTAGATGTCTTTGAGGAATTTTTCATATTTTGTATGCTTCCAAAAAGAACGGATTGAAATGCGTTTATTATTAGTCGGCGTGATGAATTGAATTTATATCTTATATATATTAGTAATAAAGTGATAAATATATATTTGAAATTACATAAATAAAATGATTTTTACATGAAAAAAATTATCTTGAACATGATATAAGTTTGAGTTTATTCACTAATTTCAATTATTAATGATTAACTATTATATGTTTATTAAAAGATTAAAAAAAGAAGTTGTGCAAAGAATTTGTTTGCTTTTTAATATGTAAATATTTTTATTTTAAATGGGAAAACGTGTTTACTCTTAAAATTAAATAGAACTGCTTCATATAATGTTTTTAATTTTGAATTTTGTAATATTAGTTTCTTATTTGTAAAGGATTCTTGTAACATAAATTCTACATAATGATATTGAAAATTTTTACTGCTCAGAAAATTTTGCATATAACATTTGATAAATGAATCATGTATGTGTCACACGAACAATTATGAATTATACATTTGAATGTTATGTATTAGAAAAATCAAGAGTTATGGCAACTATAAATGATTTTTATAAATGACACAAAAAATATTTTTTTAAATTATAAATTAATTAAACATCAAAGATATTTTAATTAATCCTTATCAGATTTTATTACCGACTTTTATAATAGTATCTTTCAATTTTCATCTTTTGTTGTACTAACAGTTTATTATATCATTACTATGTAAATTTTTTGAATAATTATTAATTCTAAATTTAACATTTAAATTTAAAAGTAACAAATAAATGTATTGTTACTTATATAATTGATAATATATTCAATAGTAGAGCATGACAGTTGATAATCCTGTTTGCATTTTATAAATTACATGACCGATATAAATAAAAACATTATTTTCAGTTTAGGACTTTTAAAAACATGCAAGTTCTATACAAAACATTATATATTTTTAAAATATATAATATTTAATTTAAATATAACTAAATAAAAAACTTGAATTTCAATTTAATTAAAAATATTTTGTAAAATCATAATTGTAAAGTTTTGTAAAAAGTATAGATTTTTATTTTTAATTAAATGATAATCTTTCTCCATATAAATTGAAAATTTGCTTTGGATAGTGTTTAAAACATAAAGAAATCTCAAATTTGGATACTAAGTACAACAAAATTGTGACATTAAATTGATTCAATGTTGAATTTCATGTAAAATTCAATTTAATTAGACGTCTTTTGGAAATCTATAAGTCCACCAGGAGATCTAGTTGCATCAATTTGAGGGATACCAGGAACATATCTAATGTCTGGAAGTCATGTTTTGAAATCCCCAAACCCATGGGAAGTATTATATTCTGTACGACAGACAACTCCATTTTTCTTTTATTTGGTTAACTTTTGTTTATTTATACCTGTTTTAAGTTTGTTTTTAAATTTTAATTCTACTATATTCTATGAATATGTTTCAAAATTGTTAACATTCTAATTTCTGTACTAATGGACGAGTCATTTCCTTTCTAAAATATGAAATAATTGATGATTCTGAATGATGATATTAAATTAATATTCATTATCTTGATTAATACGTTAATTTATATTAATTCTTGATTTATTAAAATGACTTTAATTGCTAGTATAGCAATAATGCAGAATTTAATTAACATTAAAAAATATATTCATTGATTGTGTGACATTAAATTTTATGTAGGATGTAGGATAATTATGTAGAATATCAATTACTGTGAGTTTTTTCTATGATAACTTTTTGTAAATTATATATATGAATGCTAAAAATGTTGATAATGTGTTTAAAGATTTTTAGTCATTAGTTATTCAAATTTATTATGAAATTGCTTTTTTTTTTATAGAATTCTATGATAAATTATTAATGATGAAAAAATAGTTTAAAATATATATCTTTCAAATATTAAAATATTTGAAAGATTTTTTATTATAATCTTTTGTATGCATTATATCTGTAAAGAAAATAAATGTTTTAGTTCTAAATTAGAAAATTTGTTTTATATTATTTTTTCATTTTTTTAAATTATGCTATTGTATCTCTCTGATTTGATTTAACTTTGAATGTTTATTCTTTCATTTTTTATGATATTTAAGAAAAAAATTAACAATTTCAGATTTATTAATAAAATAACAGCCAAAACAATCTTTCAGAATTGTTATATATTTATATAAACACTTGTTTGAAAAATATTTACTTTTATAACAAGGTCATTTTCGAGGCANAATTCAATTTAATTAGACGTCTTTTGGAAATCTATAAGTCCACCAGGAGATCTAGTTGCATCAATTTGAGGGATACCAGGAACATATCTAATGTCTGGTAGTCATGTTTTGAAATCCCCAAACCCATGGGAAGTATTATATTCTGTACGACAGACAACTCCATTTTTCTTTTATTTGGTTAACTTTTGTTTATTTATACCTGTTTTAAGTTTGTTTTTAAATTTTAATTCTACTATATTCTATGAATATGTTTCAAAATTGTTAACATTCTAATTTCTGTACTAATGGACGAGTCATTTCCTTTCTAAAATATGAAATAATTGATGATTCTGAATGATGATATTAAATTAATATTCGTTATCTTGATTAATACGTTAATTTATATTAATTCTTGATTTATTAAAATGACTTTAATTGCTAGTATAGCAATAATGCAGAATTTAATTAACATTAAAAAATATATTCATTAATTGTGTGACATTAAATTTTATGTAGGATGTAGGATAATTATGTAGAATATCAATTACTGTGAGTTTTTTCTATGATAACTTTTTGTAAATTATATATATGAATGCTAAAAATGTTGATAAAGTGTTTAAAGATTTTTAGTCATTAGTTATTCAAATTTATTATGAAATTGCTTTTTTTTTTTATAGAATTCTATGATAAATTATTAATGATGAAAAAATAGTTTAAAATATTTGAAAGATTTTTTATTATAATCTTTTGTATGCATTATATCTGTAAAGAAAATAAATGTTTTAGTTCTAAATTAGAAAATTTGTTTTATATTATTTTTTCATTTTTTTAAATTATGCTATTGTATCTCTCTGATTTGATTTAACTTTGAATGTTTATTCTTTCATTTTTTATGATATTTAAGAAAAAAATTAACAATTTCAGATTTATTAATAAAATAACAGCCAAAACAATCTTTCAGAATTGTTATATATTTATATAAACACTTGTTTGAAAAATATTTACTTTTATAACAATATAATATTTCTTTAACTTTACTATAAACTATAAATATTGTTGTGGAAAACAAAGAAATATCTTTGCTAAATTATTTGTTGAAAATAAATAAATAATGTCAATTTATTAAATTCTGACATTGACTAAATCTGACAGTGTACAGGTAGAATTTAGCCTATAATTTGTTTCAAATTTGGTATATTGGAAGTTTATTAAATGTCTGAAGAGTGCTATATTAATTTTCAAATCAGTTCTATAATGAGATAGCATAAATAAAATGATTTCTTTCATATCTTTTAACAGGAGAATTATTTTTATTGCATTTTCTCTTGATGATGATAGTAACAATTTACCTGTATGAAGTTATAATGTTATCCTTTAATAATGCATTAATGCTAATTATAATGCTAACAATAAAGATTTATTTAGATTGAGAGTTTTTTATTTGCAATGTTAGTTTGTTTTTATACCTTCGATAGGATTGATATATATAAAATCATGTTGCCATTTTTCAATATCTTCAGTATTATTAAGGCAAGATCTGTTTTTTTTGACTTATTGCAGTTAAAAGTTCATAAATAATGGAAAAAGTATGAGCATTATGATACAAAAAGTTTTATATTAATTATTTCTTGTAGGATTAGATTCTGTTTCACGTGTTTTTTATTTTAAATAAATTTTTTGATGATGTTTATTCACATGTACTTGTGAGATTTTTCAATTAGGATTACAAATTCCAAAAATTTAATTTGGTTGAAGAATATAATGTTTCTTCAATGAATAAAAAATGGACGTTGCATTTTGATTATTGTCAACTTTATCTGATGAGAATTATTTATTCATGGAATAATATATCAGAAAAGAATTTTTAGCATTTTCTTCTTGCTAGTGATGATCGGAAGACTTAATTTATATGATTGGATGGTATTGTTTGGCTGAATGAGCAATTAATATCTCAATTAGTTTAAAGATCATTTTCAGTTTCAATTTAAAAAAAAAACACAAATTTTTTCCATTTCTCGACGTTTTACATNAAGAAAATAAATGTTTTAGTTCTAAATTAGAAAATTTGTTTTATATTATTTTTTCATTTTTTTAAATTATGCTATTGTATCTCTCTGATTTGATTTAACTTTGAATGTTTATTCTTTCATTTTTTATGATATTTAAGAAAAAAATTAACAATTTCAGATTTATTAATAAAATAACAGCCAAAACAATCTTTCAGAATTGTTATATATTTATATAAACACTTGTTTGAAAAATATTTACTTTTATAACAATATAATATTTCTTTAACTTT